TTCTTACTTAGTCCCTCACCCTCGCACATAACTACATTTGCTTCATGACAACGGTTTACTTATCGATGTAGTAAGACTATCCCCAACGAGGGGGAGAGTGTAATGCCTGATGACGGAGCTAAATCCATACACATGAGAGAATTCCTCGGATCCAATGACAAGTGCATTATATGTATAATACATACTGCTGCTTTCTCCTGAAATATGTAGAAAGGTCATTTGCAACAAAACATTAATTTTTGCCTCAGAAAATGTTCAGCACCACAAACTTCCTGCCAGAGTGAATCTGCAGGCACTACCGTGGATCGATCACCGTGATAGTAACCTCGTTCACAGAATGCGTTCGCGTTGAATCAGACTTGGTAGCCGATGACTTGAGTCCGTCCGTCCTCAACCTTGCGAACGACGGGGGTTCATTTGGCAGCGGGAGAGGCATCTGCTCACTCTTCAACATCAGCAGCACCGACGACATGGTGGGTCTGTCGTCTGGGCTCTCCTGCACGCACAGCAACCCAACCTGGAAACACCGGCGTGCTTCGTTCGTAGGGTAACAGTCTCCGAGCGACGGATCCACGAACTCGGAGGCTCTGTCCTTCTCCCACAGCTCCCATGCCTGCCACCCACACATTGAATTTTCAAGCGTCTGTGAAAAGTACCAAGTGATGGAAGAGAAAGAAGCAATGGTGAAGCAGAGATCACGCATACATGTCTGAGAAGGGTTTGGCCGCGTTGCAGAACATGCGATGCCCCGTTTCTTTGCCCATTCAGGATCTCCAGCAGGAGAACACCATAGCTGAAGACGTCAGACTTGAACGAGAAGGTGCCTTCCATTGCGTACTCCGGAGCCATGTAACCACTGTTAATTCCAAAGCTAAGAACGTTAGCAGACTGAGGTCGCAGCTGGTCTGTGGAGGAAGACAAGTCTCGATTCACTCACTAGGTTCCCACGACTCTGCCAGTGTTGACTTCGTAGTCTTCCTCCTCGAAGATCTTCGCCATGCCGAAGTCTGAGATCTTGGGATTCATTTTGTTGTCCAACAAAACGTTGCTGGCTTTCAGGTCCCTGTGGATGACCTTGAGTAAGGAGTCCTCGTGGAGGTAGAGCAGGCCCCTCGCCACTCCTACGATTATGAGAAATCGCCTTCGCCAATCCAACTGAGGCCGCCGGTTTGGATCTAGAGAAGCCAAAAGCTCCATAGGTTAAGACCATGTGGTTTTTTGTTCCGAAATCCATGGCTGATTTGAAGAACTAATTATTTCACTAACCAAATAGAAAGGCATCAAGACTTCTATTAGGAAGGTATTCATAGATGAGTAGCTTCTCATCCCTCGACACACAGCACCCCAACAATCTCACAAGATTCCTGTGCTGAAGCTTAGCAATTAGCTCCACCTCATTCTTGAACTCTGCATTGCCTTGCCTGGATTTCGTCGACAGCCTCTTAACAGCGACTTCCTGTCCACCGAAGAGCACTCCCTGGAAGACAGATTGTTGAGGGCGCAAACAGTGATAGATTGTTGAGGGCGCAAACAGTCATCAAGACACTCGTCTGTTCACATCGATTAACACATACACTGAAAGAAGATGTTCAGGTACGTACTCTGTAAACCGGGCCAAATCCGCCTTCTCCCAGTTTATTGTCCTTGGAGAAGTTATTTGTTGCTGCTTGTATTGTGGATAGATCCATGACAGACAAGTCGGAGCTCGATATGTGCCGTAGATTCTCCACCTGAGCTCGTCTCACAGCTGATATGCATTCAAACGGAGCATTAGCCAACAGCCAACATGACGAATTCCATACATCTGTAACATTAAGATTACTGTATGGTGTCGACTACCGTTGCGTCTCCTCCACCTCCAGCAGTATATGCAGTATAATAAAGTGCCAAATATAACGACTACGAGAATTGACACCATAATCTGCATCGCAGACGAACCCGATTTCTTTTGCCCCTCTGCCGTTCCAAGTCATATCAAATTCGTATCAGATCTAGCCATAAATCTTCTCAATGGAAATCAAAAATGAAGAAGAAAACAAACTGTTGATGCCCAAATCTTGGAAGTGGAGAATCAAAAGAAGTGCCTGTGTGATCGAGCAAACAAACCTCCATCGGTGGCGCTTGCTTGTTGAGGGGAATCCATCAAGCGACGATTGGCAACTTCAACAACTCTCGCCACCATCTCAGCTTCTGCATCGAGGTTGGCCAAGTCGAACCAATGATATCAGAAACATAGAACGAGTTCCGGTAGGAGTAGCATAATCATCAGTGGTTCGTCCAGCTAACAACACCATGGTTTCGAGGTGGAGCGGTTCTAAAGTATGAACACGGGAGGTGTCACAGTCTTCCTACCGTCATCATCGTGACACGGGAGGGACCAGATCTGAGAGGCTGGGGCCGCATACTTTTATCAAAAGCCTCACATTTAAGATAAGGAAAGAGCCCGAAGACTAGTCTGAAAGGAGGAAATCAAGGCCCGAGAGTCCTCGTGAGAGCAAATTATGAGCGTCATACCGTTCTTTACAAGCACCCTGTTGTTTGATCCATTTCTCCAGTGCCGTGGAAACATCCGATAGAAGAGGGTGGCTGCTATGACAATTCTTCTCACCTTTTGTTAGTGGAAGTACGTACGAGCCCGGCCAGTGGCACAAAGTGGTGACGGTGGGTGACTCCTTTGACAAAGAGGTTGATGTGTTCCTACCAATTGAGCGATGGAGGACAACTTCTCTCGGCCCAAGTGGAATGAGTGCATTTGATGGCCTGCCAGAATTGATGCCTCGAGGCTCGTCTTTGCTGCCGAAGCAACATGGATCTGCAAAGCAAGCCAAGACTTAAAAGAGGGTCATAGCAGGTGGATTAACTAAAAAGTCCAATGGTTGTTGGCCCACAACCTTGACTTTGCGCAAAGGACAATCTGAAGAAGGTGTAATCCCAACATCTCCTTTGTCACGCGTAGATTACGGGAGCAAAAACAATTGCAGGTAGATAGACAGCACGTAATTTTAAATCACCAATCGTTCACCTAATGATTCTAAGTCAATATAAACGTGAAGAGATCTGTATCGATCGACAACAACAGATGATATATATATATATGTGTGTGTGTGTGTGAGGTGATAGATTTAAGGATTACCGAGATATTTGATATGTTTGACGTGTAAAATATAATGAGGTCTAGTAAACTATAATGATCGGTGAAAAATTACTTTGTTGTTTTTAGGAATCTATGATGTCAAGGACATTTGGTCATCTTGCTTTATATCTTTTGAGTAATTGAATGAGATAAAAGTATTGATTAGGGACATTAAATTAGAATGGATTAGGAATGAGATAATTTAAGGAGCTTAGTCCACTCAGTTTTAGTGGTGAGCTTGATCCAATGGTAATAAAAGATATTGTGGATAGAGAAAATATTTAACGTTTTAAATTGCTTTGATGATCAAAAGGTTTCTCTTACCGCCTTTATATTGGAAGGAGAGGCTGAGCACTGGTGGATAACGATAAAAAAGATTTCTGAAGTCAAACACGAGCCAATCAAATGGAAGGTATTCGTGGAAAAGTTCAATGATAAATATTTCCCAGATTGCATTAGAGAGCTAAAAAAAATTGGAGTCTTGAATCTTATCCAGGTACAATCTTGATCTTATCTTTTCGTAACGAGATATGACAAATTTAGAGGACTAAAATTTTCTTTTAAGGAGGGAAGAGTGCAACATCCCTCATTTTTTAAAATTTTGCAAGGGCTTGTTCGTAATATAGGGATCTAAATATAAATCTTAGTAATTAGATATGATTTGTCAAAGATTCATATTAAGTTAAAAAAAAATAGAGGATATGTGTCACTATCTAACCTAAGGATGATGCCACCATCTATATTTATTCTATCGATGATATATAGGTTTATTTCATGCATGCTTGCCACCTAGTAATCTTTATGTTAGCCAAACCTAAGTAATTAAAAGAGAAACTAAAGGAAAACTTAATAAATGAGTCGTAACCGGTATAAGTTTGAGAATATAAGGGAAGAAGAATTGAACTAGAGGAAGAAGAAGCTTTTCTTTGGCTTAAGGTTTTACATCAATTCCATACATTTGGGACTCAAATTTTTCTATGGCAAGTATTATAATCAATTTCTACATAAATCTTGATATCTGATTTCATCTTGATATTTGATATTTTTGTCGTTTGAGAATAAAAATGTGAATTTGAAATTTTTTAAGATTTAATATTTCTGCATTGTTCTAGACATAACTTTCTGCGTCGATTTTTGATTTAAGAGAAACTAAATTTATCTAAAAATAGATTCATAGTCTTTCTTTTGATACAAAGATTGATAAATTTGGAGTCCAATTACTTACCCAAACTGTTATTTCAATTGACCATATAAAATCTATAAAATAGAGACTGTTGGTTCTGACATTTCAGTACTCTTTTACTTGTAACCCTTTGTTGGAAATTCTTATTTATGTAAATTATGATTTATCAAAAACTAAACTCATAAATCTTTCTGTAAATATTTGATTTGAATAATTTGGAGTATAAGTGCCTAGTGAAGTATTTGTTATAATCAACTCTATAAATTATGTAAAATAGGGATAATGTTCTCTAACTTTTGGTTACTAAACTATTGATAACTCCATGTTGGAAACTTTAATTCATATAAAAATTAATTTATCTAAAACTAGATTGATATGTCTTTCAAATGGTATCACCTTGTATAAATTAGAGTATAATTGATAATTCATAGTTCATGAAATGTGCTTATTAAATTCTGTCAAAATCAAGTTTTCGTCGATTTCACCTATTCTTATTTCATCTATTTGGAAATTGATTTCAGTTAAAATTCTTACTTGAGTTGAGCTTTACATTATTGAGCGTTACATTATTGTTTTAAATTCCTGTATACTCTTGTCCTACAAATATTTGTATACCTGAATGTAAACTTTATATTTGTATCAAAATATTTCGTATATACGATAACACAACAACGTGTGCCGAGTCTCAATCCATCTACTATCGATCTTTGCAAAGATGCAAACGGCAATACATCGATGTCAAGGACTATGACTATCCAGTATTGGCCATCTACATCCACTAGAAGAACATGTGAAATCATCCACTAGAAGAACATGTAATTTCACATGAAGATGATGGATGACAGAGTTAAAAGGCCTCATTTCTCATCCACTAGATGATGGTTTTGGCAGCTCGTACTTTAAGAATCTGATGATTCTTGGAGAACGAAGTATTTATGAATTCTCCGTGTTCCAATTAGTAGGTTCGTATATCACTCAATCATTATAGAATCGTACCGAATCGGTAATGATCCCCTCTTACTCTCTTTTTAGGCACTCTCATTCTCACTCCCACTAAATGTGTTTAATATCCCTAATCAATAATTTGGTGGAGGTAAATTTAGATAAAACGAGAATTCACAGTCAAGTAGAATTTATCCTTAATTGAAGGGATTTTACCTTTTTCCTATGTTTTCTTAATTTCATGTAATTAGCATAAAGAATATTGATAAATCTTGATTGATTATGAAATAATGATTAATTAAGTTTTAATTGGTGATATTTAAGAAAAATTAGCTTAGAATGATTATGTATTGACTTGTAGCATGATTTACAAGTTTATTATACCCTGTATAATGAGTAGTTAGAGGCGTATTAACATATGCTGAGGTGGATTAAGTGTAATTAAGGCCTAGGAATTGAAGCACATTGTGCCATATTAAAATTTCATACATGATTTTATAAGTCAATGTATGACCACATGATTAAGACAAATAATCATAATTAAGATAAAATTAGCATCATTCTATTACATTTAGACCTAATTAAGTGTTGAGAAAAACCTGTTAATGTAATATCCCTCATTTTTGAAAATTATTAAAAAGGATCTATATGTAAATTGGAGGACCTATATGTAAATATAGAAATTTCAAGGACTAAACTGTTAAGTTGCAAAAAGAAAAAAAAATAAAGAAAACCGAAAATTTCGGTTTTATCCCACCGCCTCCCACCCTCGGCGTGGGGAGAAGAAGAGAAGTTGAGGGAGAAGAGAAGAAAAGAAGAAGAGTAGGGAAAAGAAGAGATTAGGAAGAAGAGGGAGAAGA